ACTTAGAAACAAACACTTCTCTGGCAGGACCAGTGGAATTAACCCAATAACTCTTTCCTTGTATGTTAATGACACGGTGTGTTCCGAGGCACTGTCAGGAAGACCCTGACAGGGGAAGTTTCCAGTCCACGGCCAATTCCAAGTTTAAAAAGAGCTTCCCCTCCCCCACAATGAACACACTGTACATCTCACATATGCTAGTGATGGCAACCCCACAGCTTTCCCTTACGCTATCTGCTAACCAGAGCCACTTGTGCAGAATCTCCTTCTCCTCCTCCCAGTTAGCCAAAGGGTGATAGCTTTTCACACACTTGGTTGTGTTTTCAGAGTCTTGCACGTGCAAAATGTGCACCTACATTCAAGTGCATGTCTCTCACAACTGCATTCCACAGGCCGGTCAGGTACATAATTGATTATTAAAGCATGCAGGGGCTCGCCCCATCACAGAAAAACATAGACGATACGGGCACACAAAAAAGCAAGATCTGAAAATCTAGGTCTTTTTACAGCTAGAGCTTGTGTGTGTTAAAGATTTCATGTATTCCCCACTGACAAGCTCTTGAGCAAACATCTTGAGGGGCCATGTTCGTGGGCAGATTGAAACAAAAGCATGTCTACACAATCTAACAGAAAAAAAAATTGATGCAGAATGCTAATTGCATCCAGACGGACTCTTAGATAGCTCCCCAGGTTTGTTATAAGAAAATGCCAGCTTTATCCCATGTAGCTGCACAAATTTTGTAATAGATTTGAAGGCATAGGAGTGCATAGCATGTGCATGCAGGCTCCCTCCAGCCACACACACACACGCACACACACACACACACAAGCCAAGTTGAACCACACTACCCACACACCCTGAAAAAAAACACAATCAGGCATTGTCACGTTAGGGTACAATCCAGTATTCAGTAGCTTTGTTTTATCCTCTCATGAGAGTGTCCTGGCAAGTTGGTTGACTTGGATTTCTTTCAGCAAGAAAAATTACTTGTGTCAACAAATTCAGGCCACTGTCAAAAGCGAGGATCTTGGGCTGCAGATCCCTGGGGCCTGACCCGGCATGGCCATTCTTATATTCTAATGCTATTAGATACATTAGACTTCCCAAGGGAAAGCCCCAAAGCGGACTGCATGATGAAAGATGCAAAGCACGCACAATGGTATTAAATTTGCCAGAATGTTTGAGGGACAAACACTTATCGGAATCTATTCCCCCAACATTATTTAATAATGACTTTGCTAAAAACAACCACAACACAGAGTATATTTTATAGTGCTAATATCCAATGAAATGTGTTAACAATGTATTCAATTTTGACCAGTTTAACCTAATGTTATCAACTAAGGAGAAGCGTAATAATATTAAATCCTTAATATACAGAGTCCAAGAGCTGCAAAAGCCAACGAAGGGATAGCATCAGCTTGTTTTGTTTGGTTGCTGCTCTGAGTTTACAGTGACATGTGAGAATCACATACCTTGTATATTCAATTCCCAGCATCCATATCATCTGGCTTTAACAGACATTTGGATGAAATGGATTGCAAAAAAAAAAAAAAGGCTACAAAAAAGACCAAAGTGACCTTACCTCTCAGATTGGACACCATTTCTCAGAGAGCCAAAGTAGTTTTTCTTTTTGTCCACAGGCATTACATCCACATAACCCCCAGCCTCGTCTTTAATGACTCCAGCATGCACGGCTGTTTTGCAAATACTGGAACTCTGAAAGATCATAAAGTAAATAGATTTAGCTGGGGCTCCAAGACCTTTTTCTGATGACTGGGAAAATAAGGACGAATGAAGAGAGATTTATGTGCATGGGAAATATATGGGAACATGCCGTTCGTCTTCCAGCCTGAGCAATGAGAAATGATTCTACAAAATCATAGAGAGATAGGGCAGGAAGGGACCTTGAGAAGTCATCTAGCCCAGCCTCGTGCGCTAAATAAACCTAGATGAGCTCTTGCAGATAAGGCATGGCCTCTGCTACTAACTGCAAAGGGTGAGGATTCTGCATGGCTGGCACAGGAAGGAGTGATGACAGCCCTACAGAGGATCAGTAGGACTACCCACTATTTCTCTCCATGAACCTCTGTCAACAGACTGGTCAAATAGCCCATTGGTCTGAACAAGAACTCTGCTAACGGGAGAATGATTGAATCAATGGATTTACCAATCAGCCAGGCCCTGCCTATGTTAATCTATGCCCCCTCTTTTGGTGCTCCACAGTCACTTTCTTGACCACCCCAACCCTGCCCTTGTCTACGAGAGAACGTAGCCCCTTTGCATTGTCAATAGCTCAGCAAAGATTCTGCAACTCTCTGCTGGTGTGAAACAGCAGAGATCCTTGGTGAATCTGGCCTAAACAAATAAATGATCATTCAACTTGAGACACGTTAGGCCTCATCCTTCCAAAAGCTAAGATGATCTACTTTCATGAAGGGTCTGGTTATCGGAGGTGCTGAGAATGCACATCTCCCACAGACTACACCAAGCATAGCAGGCGAGCCCTGTGATCTCAGTATTGCAGGCTCCTTCTGTTTATTTTATTCTGGTTGCTGCAGAGACAGAACTGACTGGCAATGGATGATTAACGACAAAAACATCCAGGAAATGGAGTGATAGCAGAGCACTCAAAGGCTCAATGTAAACTTGGACGCAAACCTTCTAAAATAATTATATGCGGCTCGCTAGAACCACAAAAATTGGCTCCAGTGCTGAGGACTGAAACAGGTGAAAAGCTAAAATCCAACAAAGTTGTTGATCTTAAAAGAAAAAGTCTAACTTCTACTTCAGAACCTGCAAAGGAATGCATGGCGGTGGCATCTGTGTACTATAGATCATGCTCTCTTGTTCACTTTCTTTCATCAAGACCATAAAAGGCATATTTTTCCCTATTCCCTATATATTTATCATTTTGGATAGCCTATATCTTGGCATTTTATTGGCCAGTTTGGTTTTGCTTCTATATATGGGCAAGAGAGCACAGGAACACTTTGTTTGGAAGATATGCTTTGAATTTCTCTAGTATGCAATGGGAAATCTGTAAATCTAAAATTGGCTCATTAAATTAAACTGTCCTGTAGGAACGGGGCAAGGCTATTTGCAAAACTCCGCTCCACTGGGACACCCTCCGTTATGATTCCAAGGCATTCCTCTCTTCCAGAACTTGCTGTTCTTCGGCCTGCTCATTCTTTGGCTGCTCTGCTTTTTATGCACCCCTCCCCCATCAGTCGATTGGGATCCCGTCTTCTATCCTGCCAGTGAGTCCGTGAGGTGACTGGAAAGTGCTCTGGGGATAGGAAGCACCGGGAGGATGGAGGAGTCCTCGCCCAAAAGAAAAGGCACCGGTGCATGAAGGATCACACAAGAAAATATATCACCCTAGCAAGTTCTCTGCTTCTGCTTGAGCACCACATTTTTGGGATGGCTGCTAGTATCTCTGGAATGCTTCCCTCCTTGCGGGGGCAGGGCCTGTCTGGCACAAGCTGCATCAAATGATTCACAATGAAGTAGGCTTATGAAGTAAGTCCTGGTCTACACTAAAAACGAGGTGCTCTCAGCAAGGTCACTCAGGAATGTGAAAAATGCATAGCAACTTAGTTAAACTGACTAGCCCCCGTTGTACACATTGCTAGGCCCACCAAAGATTTTTTGACTTAGCTACAACCTCATAGGGAGGTGCATTATCTATAGAAGATGCTCCCTCCCTTTGGCACAGGCAGTGTCTACACTGATGTTGCGTCCCTGTAGCATTTCAAGTGTAGACAGGCTGTAAGTCACTCATCCAGTCTCCATTTAGGGTTTTGTCTTCACTAAACCAGGAGATTGATGCTGCCGAGATTAATCGCTCAGGGTTTGATTTAGTGGGTCTAGTAAGGACCCACTAAATCAACTGCTGATGGAGCCACCGTTGGCCCCAGTACTTTACTGGGTTGTGAGGAGTCAGGGAGCTGAAGGGAGTGTTTCTCCCATCGATCTCCGGCAGCTGAGACAACACAGAAATTCGACCTAATGTACGTTAGCTATTCTCATAGCTGGAGTTGCGTATCTTAGGTCAACTTTCTTTGGTAGCATAGACCTGGCCTTTGTGTGGCCAGCCTGAAAACAAAAGATATGTTCCTCCCTGGGAGTTCAGCCAAGTTCTGTGGCTTCCACTGGTGATAAAAATCCGCCTCATTATGCAGGCTTCCTTCTTCAGGAACTCTCCCCCCAGCTAATTGCCTCACAAATGAGACTGCTGGAGACTAAACTACCTTTGTCTCTCTCTCATCGCCTCAGGGTTCCTGAACATGAATGGGACACACATTTCCCTTTCAAGCACAAGCCTCACAGTGAACCAAGCAAGGCAGCTGCACAATTCGTTATGTATACATTTCCCAATGCTTCTGTGCTTTATAAACCTTAAAAGCTCTCGCATGGCTTTGATAAAGGTCCCTCCTGATCTGCTGCCCACAGCCTCAGAGACATTTCTCTCCACATTAGCAACTGCTGAATTTTTCTTCACTGAGCAAACCAAGGTGCAGAAGAGAACAGTCTGGCCTTACCTTACCTTGCCTTTTCTTTTCACCACTACAACATTTCCGAACCTGAGCACTTACATCTAAGATCCTACAGCCACATTTAGGAGCGTAAAATATAAACAATCTTTTTTCCAGCAGTACAGCATGTAGCTCTCATGAACTACAGTGAGAAATATCCGCCTGCAAAACCAGGACTGAAATTGCAGATATTTCTAAAGTAAAAGCAAATCGGGAGAGAGAAAATCCCTCTTGGACCCTCTTTATGTATCATAAAGAAACACAGTCTTCTTAAAAACAATCCTTGAAACTTAGATACATGACCACTGGGTCCAGCTCAGCCATCTTTCCATTTTCACGCCCTCCGCCCCTGACTAGAATTAACATTAATTTTCCTTTCTCTGTCCCTCTACACAGGCTGGCCAGAAGTCAGCCTGCTCCCTCACACATCCTGCTGCCTGAAACAGTCTTCTTCCCTCTGCCTTGTTTCAGATCTCAGCTGAAATCACCTCCCTTTCTGTGCTGTATTGAAAACAGTGTTCAAATTAGAAGCTATCGCTTTAAGTTGTAAGGGCTTTCTTGGCTCTGCTTCCAAGCGAGGCTCTTTGAGCAGTAAGTCTGCTGAAGAGTCAGTCTGGAGCAAAGATGGGCTGAACTGTGCCTCTGGGGAGCAGCCTGCTTTCACTCTCACTGTTTCTGATGGTTGCTGGGTTAGGTTTCTGGATGCTGAATTCCCTTGAAGCCCTTCAAGAACAGTATCAATGAAGGGGAGAGGTTCCTGACTCTATATGTGCCGTGAACACAGCGCTCATGCCTTCTTCTGCACTTCACCCATTTAATGCACATGGGGCATCAATGCACGACCCTAACAGATACTTTTATGCTTGAAGCAACGAAAGGAAGGATTGTGCATGTGTTTTCATTTGTCTATTTTTAATCACAGCCAGTGTCCTGCTTTCCTCCAGGTCATGGAACAACTGTTTCTACATTGGAAATAACTTTTTAGCAGAACATCTGGATTGGGTGACCTGCATTTGCCTCCTCCGCCTCATCCTCACTGTTTGCTGCCACAATTTATCATGCACATTTCAAGACTCTGACAGGGTATGTCTACACTACCACCCTAGTTCGAACTAGGGTGGTAGTATAGACATACCCACAATGACACTTCAGCAATGCACGAGAGGTCTTATTTTGTCATTGATCACAAGTATCTTGGCTTCTTTGAGTGGTTTCCAAAAGAACGGTGACCTCACTTCCTACCAACATACCCTTCCCAAGCCCTTGGCATCAGAAAACCTAAAATAGCATCTTTCTTTCTCTGAGAAGAAAACAGAATCTTCCTTGAAGCTGTTAAAATCCCATGACGCAGAGGTTAACTGCTCCTGGGGCGATGGACCAAACCAAACAGAACCAAGTACAGCCAAAATCCTCTCTTCCTGACGTCGGCACTTTGTACTCGGTTTCACACGCATCCTGGGACCATGTGAACATTGAAGCTTTCCAAGTCTGATCACAAGGCTACAAACTCATTGAATTGAATACTGCTACCCAACTAGGAGTGACTCTCTGAGGCTAACTGCCCGCAAGTGATTGCCCTGTTCACTCCTCGGCTGCCAAACCCTTTTTGCAAGGCAAGGTTCTGGATGTGCTGCCAACGTGACAGAGCACAAGAGCACAAACTTTGTTTTCTTGAGTGAAGCTATTTTAAAAGGACATATACACACGAATCTCATAAAAGTGCTGCTGTAGGGCTGGGCAGGCCCACTGACAAAAGGGGGGGGGCACAGCAGGTAATTGCTCTGGGCCCCAGTGATTCAAAAGGGCCTGAGGGTCCTGGCCATCATCACTGCTACTGGAGCAGCAGCAGCTTTCGCAACCTTCGGTCTCTTAAATCGCTGTTGGAGCCCTGGGCAACCCGCTCCAGATGGTACTAAGGGCAGGCGAGGAGATCAGGTGGCACTGAGGGCCGTCTGGGGGAGGCGACTCCCAGCCCCGCCCCTTCTGCCTGAAGCCCCGCCTTGCCCATCCTGGTAATTCTGTCAGCCCCCCCCCCCGGGTGAGGATCCACGGGGCATGTCAGAAGATTAGCACTTGTCTATTTTTGTGTGTTATCTGTTTCAATGTGTCTTCTGATGCACGGCGATTGCGAGTTGATTGCACGCCGTCTTGCAGTGCATTCCACACATGCAGTATCCTCAGTGGGAAAGGCTTTGGGCCAAATTCTCATTTCCCTGAATGTTTGCCTATTTTGTCAGCCTGCCAGTCCTTGGAGTTATCATGAAGTCAAAGAACGTTTCTACTTGTAGCCCTCACTATGCTTGCAACCTTCTCTCGCAGCTCCCTTAATGCTCTTCTTCTCTTCCCAGTCTAGTCCTGTCTTTTCCCACCATTCTGCTAACACTCCTAAACTATCAACGCATTCCTTGTTAGCTCCTGGTCCTGTCCACTGCTTTTGACATACTAGTCTAAAGGAGATCTAACAAACCCTTTCCAGAGCAGCATTGTTTGGCTTCCAAATCACATTCCATGCCCCCATTTATATAATCCTAAACCCAGAGTTTTGCAAGTTTTGGGGCTTGTGACCCAAGACCCTAGTGTCTCTGAGTCAGTATAAACCATAACATTATGCAGGACTGAGATGGTAGTACTAAACTGGTGCCTCACTGACGTCTTAGCCAATCAGATGGGAAACTGAGGTCTTGAGCACTTATGACCTTCTAAGTTCTCATGACATTCTTCACCATCTTCCTGATTCAGATCTAGTGTGGACAGCCACATTCGTCCCACCAAAAATGTCCAGGCTGCTTCTACTGGGTAGCATTTTAATCTGTTTCCTGTCCTGATGCAGTTTTCTTCTCTGGTTAAACACTGGAATAAGTTGCCTAGGGAGGTTGTGGAAACTCTGGAGATATTTAAGAGCAGGTTAGACAGATATCTATCAGGGATGGTCTAGAACCAGTGGTCTCCAACGAGGTGCCCGCGGGCACCATGATGCCCACCGGGGTATTTATGTGAGCCCGCCTAGTGACCAGGGCCGGCCCGAGCCATTCTTGCGCCCCGGGCTCCGGCCACCTGGCGGATGCGCAGCCCCCAACCCGGGCACGCGACACATGCATGGTCCCCGCCCCAGGCGTGCAGCACATACGTGGAGTCCCCCCCTCCCAGGCATGCAGCGTATGTGGGACCCTACCCCCGGGCGCCTGGCAGCCCCAAAAAGTTGGGGACCACTAGTCTAAATGGTGCTGGGTCCTTCCATGGGGGCAGGGCACTGGACTTGATAACCCCACAAGGTCCCTTCCAGTTCTAGTGTTCTGTGATTCTACAAAGATGTCCTTCCCCATACGCAGCTGCGTAGGGCGCATGAAAACGTGAGGCCCCTTCGGTCTTCATGTCCACCCAACCGCCTCTTCCTATCCCTGTTCTGTGTCTCTGCTTCCTCCAGAGAAGATCCAGTTAACTTAAAAGTGGAAAAGCCTGCCCAACCGATTAGCAGAACATCAAACCTGTGGAAGAGCCATTCAAGTGGTAATAAAGCCATTTAACAGGCATTTGACAACCCCGGGTATATTTTGTACGGTCAGTTTCTGAACTTACTGTTTCAGAGAGGTAGCCATGTTAGTCTGTTTCAGCCAAAAGAAAGAGTCTGGTGGAACTTTAAAGACTAACAAAGTTATTAGGGTGTTAGAGTATAAGTTTTTGTGAGCTACAATTCATGTGTGTGTGTGTGTGTGTGTGTGTGTGTGTGTGTGTGTGTGTGTGTGTGTGTGACAGA